TACAGGTAAGATAGTATTAGCCTTAAGCTCGCTTTGTGTAGCTGTACCCTTGTTGGATGTAAGATTGTAAGGGTTTATACTTCCTGGTGAGCGAGCGGGTGTAACACCGCTTTAACCGTAGTGCGGTTATATCATGTCTGCTTGATGTGGGAGGAAAGCCCGAAGTAAAGCAGATCTTATGCGTTTACCACTTTTGAGCGATTGAGTGAGTTGGATTTAACGCCGCTTTGAACAGCATTCCAGCTCTATCACGGCGTGTCAGATTAATGTGGGAGGAAAACCCGTAGTGATACAGGTCTCAGACGTTTATAATTTCCACTTTTAGGAACCCACGGGCACGGGTATGGTGCTGGCAAACCTAGAAACATCATCGGGTCGAATCTGAGATTTGAACCCACGATCATAAGTTTTTGATGCGGCTGTGGGACACTGCAGGCGAATCGCGTCGCCTTACATGACGGGTCACCCGTGGCCCCTTCGTGATTCTTCATATCATGATATCATATTATGCACTTGTTGACCTTTAATTATGTTTAGGATGTCTTGTTAATTATTTGATTTGTCTGATGTGTACGTTAATTAGTTCATATTTAAATATAGGCTTGTATGTCTGATAAATAGAGATCATTAGCCATATCGAAAATATAATATGATAGAAATAAATAAGCCGATTTTGCAAGCATTTGGCGAGCATAATACATATTTCGTATTCCGAATATATTATATTTCATGCTGATGGTCCTCCTCTGTGTTCTAGTGGATATAGCATCTGTGGTTCGATCCCATGGTCACGTCATACCAAAAAGACGTTAAATATGGTACTTCTTGAGATAAGACCCGTGAAGACCCGGGGTAGAATAGGTCTTCAGCAACCCATGCTTGCCGTAAAAGGCGACTATGCTTGTCGTAAAAGGCGACTATCGGGATCGGGTGGTAAGGCTCGCTGTCTTGGTTGAAGCATGTCATCGATCCCCATTGCGTGGATCGATGCTCATGATGTCCATCACTGGATTGTCTGGAGACTCGATTATTTACAGACCGCCGTCATATAGCTGGATTATTGTTGCGTGCGGCATAAAACAACAAACCAACTAACCACCTTTATGAGATAAAACAAGAACGGGTTGGCTGGGAGCCAGTATAATGTGTCTGAGAGGGGTATTCATGTTAAACCTGCGTCATGTTAGCACAAATTGGCAAAGTTCGGCCAAGTACAAACAGGAACACACACACACGTGCATGCACGACGCTCTATACGTGCAAACATCTTGAGCGCGACGTTAAACCCCATTTCACCTCATCATGTTGAGAAAACAATGCACCTGTTCATACGAACTAAACAATCTAGTGTTATCAGCACTAGAGGAGTCAGGAGTGGCAAACCTACGTCATGTTGGAAGATATCTCGCTGATTGGAAGGAGCGAGAACGCTTAACGACGGAAAAGTGTATACAAATACTCTAACAATAACAAGTACAATCTAAACATACTGACGTCGACGTAGAGAGTCAGGTGGCTTTATTGATGATGTAAACATTATTTCAGTTTTACACGGATTAATATTAATTCAGTTATATCCAATTTAACGTTGCTGAAAGTGGCCTACTACTTTTACTACTTTCGCGAAACCGACGAGCCTGGTTAAGGTGCGACAGATCGAAATCGGGCAAATCTTGGATTCGAACCCATGCCACAACGTACCGACGAAACCCTGTACTGCTTCGTGAACATAAAAACGCAGTCAGCGGTATATGCAACTACTTTCCAATGCCTGTGGTATTGGGTATTGAACCGATGTTTAAGTCTCACATTTTCATATGACCTAAATGTTCCTGTTTAATAAGGGAGGGAGTAGGTAGCCGAGTGGTTAAAGCTTTCGTTCATGGCGTCGAGTCCCGGCTTCGATCCCCACACGGGTACAGTGTGTTAAGCCTCCTTCTGGAGTCCAGTGGGAGGTGGGTAGCCTAGTGGTTAAAGCGTTCGCTCGTTATTCCGAAGACCGAGTTCGATTCCCCACATGAAGACAATGTGTGAAGCCCTGGTGTCCCCCGCCGTGATATTGCTGGAAACGCTAAACGCGGCGTAAAAACACACTCACTCACTTTGGTGTCCTAACAAGCTTTCGCTGAAATATATTGTTAATGAAAACGACAAAACCCTTTCGATATTCATAAGAAATCATAAGAAGTCAAGTGTACAATTCCGACTATATCATGAGCATGTGTTTATGAATCACTATCAAATAGTGACGATACAAGGTGTTCGCTAAAAGGTAAAACAAATAATGAAATCTCACTGACTCACTCACTCACTCACTCACTCACGCACTCACTCACTCACTCACTCACGCACTCACGCACTCACTCACTCACTCACTCACTCTCTTGAAACAGTCATCAACTGATAGACTAAAACCTCCCGGCCCAGGATTTCTCGCCCTGCCTATCCACTTAAAAGAAATTTAAAAATGATATTCGTTACAGATCCTTTGTTTGACATGGTGGTTCCAGCTTTGAGATATGATCGATTTCGTGATGAAATTAGCTTACTGTGCATATATAGTTCTGTTCGGTTTAAAATCGTTCCTGGTAGGCGGGTGTCAGACGACTGGATACAGTGTATTACAAGGTCTGAGCGTTGTACATTCTCCACCAGTCACCACGTGTGAAGTACGCTGATAATCTACACGGTGAGGCTATGCACTGATTGTCCTCTCTAGCCACACCGGAAGAATGGCATTTGACCTCAAATATTTGCGGCGACTGATCAAACAACCACTTGGGGAATCCCAGGTACTAGCCAGGAAACAACCGTTGAACGTATGTGAGTAGATCGATGTCGAACAACACTCCTTGGTGAACTCTTCCAGTTTATGAATGAGATATAGACGTTGCAAAAAATGCAGATGTACCATGCTTTGAATATGATTATGATTATTATCAAAATTTATATATTTCTTCTCACGATTCATGGTTGTGTAGCCTGGTGGTTAAAGCGTTCTTTGTCACGCCGAAGGCCCGGGTTCGATTCCCCGAATGGGTAAAAGGTGTGGAGTCCATTTCTGGTGTCCCCAGCGATATTGCCGGAATAGTGCGCCGTAAAACCATACTCAGTCAATATTTCTTATGACCTACCCGCCCCTAAAATTGGTCCCGCCCTAATATTGGTTTTAAACTCTATTTAAGGGTATCTGCTGGTGTGCGTATGTGTATGATATAGGTCCGCTGTCGTGTATAGGGTGTCCTGTAAATCATGTTGTAATACAATCCATCGCCACAACAAACCCATGCTAGGCGAACCACAGACTACAAGTCAAACAGTCAAACAGTGGGCGTTCTGTATCACATAAAACGTGAGATCCGTCATTTTCATGTTAATAGCATTTAGTCATTGCGTCCTTTAAGTTCTACTGAGTGCAAAGTCACAAAACTTTGTACAGATATATTTTTATTATAAACACCTGTGATCTCTTTAGTCACTGTTTATGTAATTTACATGCGTACAGACCTCCGAACGACAAACACATGTTTTTGCCTAAATGCTGACGTGCCCAAGATTAGAGATAAAAGATATTCGTTCTCGGTGAACTTGTCACTTGACATGTTTTTATAAGACAACAATATATTATTGGAAAACTGTTGGTATTTTGCGTGTGAATATTGTGTAGAGTCGGGGAGAATGCTACATCACACACATAAAGAAGATGATATTTTTCATTGTTTTATAATCGATTAATATTCATTTTGCATTTTCCAATTCTCCCAAGTTTCGGTTACACATTTTACAAGATTCAAGATTTCTTGGTTCATTCATTTCACAACAGACCAACACACGACGGTTCATGAACATGATATACAATAACGCATAAATCAATACGGCGGTTACTCAAGATTCATTAAATAGACCCGTGAAGATCCGGGGTAGAATAGGTCTTCAGCAACCCATGCTTGCCGTAAAAGGCGACTATGCTTGTAGTAAGAGGCAACTAACGGGATCGGGTGGTCAGGCCCGCTGACGTGGTGGATGCATGTCATCGTGTCCTACTTGCGTGGTCCAGACTCGATTATTTACAGACCGCCGTCATATGCGTTAAACAACAAACAAACAAACAAACAAACACACAAACAAACAAACAAACACACAAAACATAAAACGTGAAGTAATTCCAAAACTACGACCCTTACGCAAAAGTTAATGAATAACTCCGCGACGTTTGAAATAATGATGACGTCACTGCATTGTGACCTCGTTTTGCGAATGTCATCGCAGGTTACAACTTGAGGGAAATAACCTGGGGGCAAATGAAAGTATACCGAGTTTTCTTTTAATGTAATTGAAAATTGAAAGGACTGTTGCTAAGTTTGATGATGTCGATTTAACAACAACTTATTCCTGCAAAATACATAGTTTACGTGTCTGTGCGTGCGTGCGTGTGCGTGTGCGTTTGCGTGTGTGTGCGTGTGTGCGTGTGCGTTTGCGTGTGTGTGCGTGTGTGCGTGTGCGTTTGCGTGTGCGTGTGCGTTTACGTGTGCGTTTGCGTGTGCCTGTGCCTGTGCGTGTGCGTGTGTGTGTGCGTGTGTGTGTGCGTGTGCGTTTGCGTGTGCGTGTGCCTGTGCGTGTGCGTGTGTGTGTGGCTACTGCTTGTAAACAAGTTCGGACTATTGCCGGCTTTATGGTGCTAGCCCAATGTTGAAGTTTAACATGAATAACCCACTCAGACACAGTATACTCCGAGCCGACCAGTCCTTGTCATAGCACCTTAATGTCGAGCGCCAGTCAGGATAACAAGTACTATCTTTTAACGTCTTTTGGTATGATGCGGCCAGGGGATCGAACCACCGACCTTCCGCCCTCCTGGCAGACGCTCTATCCACTACACCAGAAAGATTTGTTGGCCAAGAAACAGTGGTAACCATGGAGTCTGCCCCGCCTCTTCACTCTTTGGGCCAAAGGGTACCTGGGTAATTGAGGTCACGTGGTACATTAGAATCAGGTTTATGTTAAACGACATATAACCTAACAAAACAATAAAATAAACATAAAACACTCGATCTCCACGTTGTCAACACGTATGCCTTTGATTGTCGAATACAGTGGTTCTCTTTGATACGTAATCTGGACAATTTATGTGAAGGGGGCTTATTTTGAAATTGAGCTGCAAGTGTTGGGTTAAGGGTGCATGAGATGTCTTGGTGGGAGTAGACGGGGAGAGGGTACATGAGATGTCTTGGACGGAGTAGACGGGGAGGGGTACATGAGATGTCTTGGTGGGAGTAGACGGGGAGAGGGTACATGAGATGTCTTGGAGGGAGTTGACGGGGAGAGGGTCCATAAGATGTCTTGGTGGGAGTAGACGGGGAGAGGGTGCATGAGATGTCTTGGTGGGAGTAGACGGGGAGAGGGTACATGAGATGTCTTGGTGGGAGTAGACGGGGAGAGGGTGCATGAGATGTCTTGGTGGGAGTAGACGGGGAGAGGGTGCATGAGATGTCTTGGTGGGAGTAGACGGGGAGAGGGTACATGATATGTCTTGGTGGGAGTAGACGGGGAGAGGGTACATGAGATGTCTTGTTGAGAGTAGACGGGGAGAGGGTACATGAGATGTCTTGTTGAGAGTAGACGGGGAGGGGTACATGAGATGTCTTGTTGAGAGTAGACAGGGAGAGGGTGCATGAGATGTCTTGTTGAGAGTAGACGGGGAGAGGGTACATGAGATGTCTTGGTGGGAGTAGACGGGGAGGGGTACATGAGATGTCTTGTTGAGAGTAGACGGGGAGAGGGTACATGAGATGCCTTGTTGAGAGTAGACGGGGAGGGGTACATGAGATGTCTTGTTGAGAGTAGACGGGGAGAGGGTACATGAGATGTCTTGTTGAGAGTAGACGGGGAGAGGGTACATGAGATGTCTTGGTGGGAGTAGACGGGGAGAGGGTACATGAGATGTCTTGGTGGGAGTAGACGGGGAGGGGTACATGAGATGTCTTGGTGGGAGTAGACAGGGAGAGGGTGCATGAGATGTCTTGGTGGGAGTAGACGGGGAGGGGTACATGAGATGTCTTGGTGGGAGTAGACAGGGAGAGGGTACATGAGATGTCTTGGTGGGAGTAGACGGGGAGGGGTACATGAGATGTCTTGGTGGGAGTAGACGGGGAGAGGGTGCATGAGATGTCTTGGTGGGAGTAGACGGGGAGGGGTACATGAGATGTCTTGGTGGGAGTAGACAGGGAGAGGGTGCATGAGATGTCTTGGTGGGAGTAGACAAGGAGAGGGTGCATGAGATGTCTTGGTGGGAGTAGATGGGGAGAGGGTGCATGAGATGTCTTGGTGGGAGTAGACGGGGAGAGGGTACATGAGATGTCTTGTTGAGAGTAGACAGGGAGGGGTGCATGAGATGTCTTGGAGGGAGTTGACGGGGAGAGGGTCCATGAGATGTCTCGGTGAGAGTAGACGGGGAGAGGGTACATGAGATGTCTTGGTGGGAGTAGACGGGGAGGGGTGCATGAGATGTCTAGGTGAGAGTAGACGGGGAGAGGGTACATGAGATGTCTTGGTGAGAGTAGACGGGAGAGGGTACATGAGATGTCTTGGTGGGAGTAGACGGGTAGGGGTACATGCGATGTCTTGGTGGGAGTAGACGGGAGAGGGTCCATGAGATGTCTTGGTGGGAGTAGACGGGGAGAGGGTGCATGAGATGTCTTGGTGGGAGTAGACGGGGAGAGGGTACATGAGATGTCTTGGTGGGAGTAGACGGGGAGAGGGTACATGAGATGTCTTGGTGGGAGTAGACGGGGAGGGGTACATGAGATGTCTTGGTGGGAGTAGACAGGGAGAGGGTGCATGAGATGTCTTGGTGGGAGTAGACGGGGAGAGGGTACATGAGATGTCTTGGTGGGAGTAGACAGGGAGAGGGTACATGAGATGTCTTGGTGGGAGTAGACGGGGAGAGGGTACATGAGATGTCTTGGTGGGAGTAGACGGGGAGAGGGTGCATGAGATGTCTTGGTGGGAGTAGACGGGGAGAGGGTACATGAGATGTCTTGGTGGGAGTAGACGGGGAGGGGTACATGAGATGTCTTGGTGGGAGTAGACAGGGAGAGGGTGCATGAGATGTCTTGGTGGGAGTAGACGGGGAGAGGGTACATGAGATGTCTTGGTGGGAGTAGACGGGGAGAGGGTACATGAGATGTCTTGGTGGGAGTAGACGGGGAGAGGGTACATGAGATGTCTTGGAGGGAGTAGACGGGAGAGGGTGCATGAGATGTCTTGGTGGGAGTAGACGGGGAGAGGGTACATGAGATGTCTTGTCTAGGAGTAGACGGGGAGGGGGTGCATGAGATGTCTTGGAGGGAGTAGACGGGGAGGGGTACATGAGATGTCTTGGAGGGAGTAGACGGGGAGGGGTACATGAGATGTCTTGGAGGGAGTAGACGGGGAGAGGGTACATGAGATGTCTTGGAGGGAGTAGACGGGGAGGCGTACATGAGATGTCTTGGTGGGAGAAGACGGGGAGGGGTGCATGAGATGTCTTGGTGGGAGTAGACGGGAGAGGGTGCATGAGATGTCTTGGTGGGAGTAGACAGGGAAAGGGTGCATGAGATGTCTCGGTGAGAGTAGACGGGGAGAGGGTGCATGAGATGTCTTGGTGGGAGTAGACGGGGAGAGGGTACATGAGATGTCTTGGTGGGAGTAGACAGGGAGAGGGTACATGAGATGTCTTGGTGGGAGTAGACGGGGAGAGGGTGCATGAGATGTCTTGGTGGGAGTAGACGGGGAGAGGGTACATGAGATGTCTTGGTGGGAGTAGACGGGGAGGGGTACATGAGATGTCTTGGTGGGAGTAGACAGGGAGAGGGTGCATGAGATGTCTTGGTGGGAGTAGACGGGGAGAGGGTACATGAGATGTCTTGGTGGGAGTAGACGGGGAGAGGGTACATGAGATGTCTTGGTGGGAGTAGACGGGGAGAGGGTACATGAGATGTCTTGGAGGGAGTAGACGGGGAGAGGGTGCATGAGATGTCTTGGTGGGAGTAGACGGGGAGAGGGTGCATGAGATGTCTTGGTGGGAGTAGACGGGGAGGGGTACATGAGATGTCTTGGTGGGAGTAGACAGGGAGAGGGTGCATGAGATGTCTTGGTGGGAGTAGATGGGGAGAGGGTGCATGAGATGTCTTGGTGGGAGTAGACGGGGAGAGGGTACATGAGATGTCTTGTTGAGAGTAGACAGGGAGGGGTGCATGAGATGTCTTGGAGGGAGTTGACGGGGAGAGGGTCCATGAGATGTCTCGGTGAGAGTAGACGGGGAGAGGGTACATGAGATGTCTTGGTGGGAGTAGACGGGGAGGGGTGCATGAGATGTCTAGGTGAGAGTAGACGGGGAGAGGGTACATGAGATGTCTTGGTGGGAGTAGACAGGGAGAGGGTGCATGAGATGTCTTGGTGGGAGTAGATGGGGAGAGGGTGCATGAGATGTCTTGGTGGGAGTAGACGGGGAGAGGGTACATGAGATGTCTTGTTGAGAGTAGACAGGGAGGGGTGCATGAGATGTCTTGGAGGGAGTTGACGGGGAGAGGGTCCATGAGATGTCTCGGTGAGAGTAGACGGGGAGAGGGTACATGAGATGTCTTGGTGGGAGTAGACGGGGAGGGGTGCATGAGATGTCTAGGTGAGAGTAGACGGGGAGAGGGTACATGAGATGTCTTGGTGAGAGTAGACGGGAGAGGGTACATGAGATGTCTTGGTGGGAGTAGACGGGTAGGGGTACATGCGATGTCTTGGTGGGAGTAGACGGGAGAGGGTCCATGAGATGTCTTGGTGGGAGTAGACGGGGAGAGGGTGCATGAGATGTCTTGGTGGGAGTAGACGGGGAGAGGGTACATGAGATGTCTTGGTGGGAGTAGACGGGGAGAGGGTACATGAGATGTCTTGGTGGGAGTAGACGGGGAGGGGTACATGAGATGTCTTGGTGGGAGTAGACAGGGAGAGGGTGCATGAGATGTCTTGGTGGGAGTAGACGGGGAGAGGGTACATGAGATGTCTTGGTGGGAGTAGACAGGGAGAGGGTACATGAGATGTCTTGGTGGGAGTAGACGGGGAGAGGGTACATGAGATGTCTTGGTGGGAGTAGACGGGGAGAGGGTGCATGAGATGTCTTGGTGGGAGTAGACGGGGAGAGGGTACATGAGATGTCTTGGTGGGAGTAGACGGGGAGGGGTACATGAGATGTCTTGGTGGGAGTAGACAGGGAGAGGGTGCATGAGATGTCTTGGTGGGAGTAGACGGGGAGAGGGTACATGAGATGTCTTGGTGGGAGTAGACGGGGAGAGGGTACATGAGATGTCTTGGTGGGAGTAGACGGGGAGAGGGTACATGAGATGTCTTGGAGGGAGTAGACGGGAGAGGGTGCATGAGATGTCTTGGTGGGAGTAGACGGGGAGAGGGTACATGAGATGTCTTGTCTAGGAGTAGACGGGGAGGGGGTGCATGAGATGTCTTGGAGGGAGTAGACGGGGAGGGGTACATGAGATGTCTTGGAGGGAGTAGACGGGGAGAGGGTACATGAGATGTCTTGGAGGGAGTAGACGGGGAGAGGGTACATGAGATGTCTTGGAGGGAGTAGACGGGGAGGGGTACATGAGATGTCTTGGTGGGAGAAGACGGGGAGGGGTGCATGAGATGTCTTGGTGGGAGTAGACGGGAGAGGGTGCATGAGATGTCTTGGTGGGAGTAGACAGGGAAAGGGTGCATGAGATGTCTCGGTGAGAGTAGACGGGGAGAGGGTGCATGAGATGTCTTGGTGGGAGTAGACGGGGAGAGGGTACATGAGATGTCTTGGACGGAGTAGACGGGGAGAGGGTGCATGAGATGTCTTGGTGGGAGTAGACGGGGAGAGGGTACATGAGATGTCTTGGTGGGAGTAGACGGGGAGGGGTACATGAGATGTCTTGGTGGGAGTAGACGGGGAGAGGGTGCATGAGATGGCTTGGTGAGAGTAGACGGGGAGCGGGTACATGAGATGTCTTGTTGAGAGTAGACGGGGAGGGGTAGATGAGATGTCTTGGTGGGAGTAGACGGGGAGAGGGTACATGAGATGTCTTGGTGGGAGTAGACGGGGAGAGGGTACATGTTGTCTTGTCTAGGAGTAAAACAAGCTAATACGGATATGCTATGTCGCGGATAGTTATTATTATTCAATAACAACAAACCATACATACTTTCTTTCATCCTCGGTGCGTCAGCCCTGCCTATATTGAAGAACCGTATTATTGATTGGTGCCGTTGTGTATGAATGAGTCAGCTAAAATCCGTCTTTGCACTTACCTTTGACGGGCAACCGCGCGTTTCTCTGAAACCAGGTCAAACAATTGCATTTTCATAATGATGATGTAATACACTCTCGGGGAATTGTTATGCTCAGGTGACTGAGTGCGCTCTAAGTGCAGAGGTATTCGACGCGCGGTAGGACCTGTCCACACACATACTAAGTATACGATAACGACAGCTCATTGGCACGAAACAGGAAGTGATTTGTATAATATTATGTTACAACACGATAAAGTAGGGAGGTAATTGTGAATTGATGATAAGAGGGCATCAAGATGTCACGACGCTAGCGAATACCAAGAACTGTTTAAAGTTCACGTAATGATATAACGATCACACATACCTGATACGTGATAATGTGACCTTAAAAGTACGGGCCCCCGTTACGTCGAAAACCTCAAATGTTCAATTTGAAGAACAGATTTCAATTATAATAATTAGTCTGAAGACATTTGAATTCGAATTTGTTAAGTAGTCCGTTCAGAGTGAGTTGGCGAGGGAATAAACTGTGTGACGAAATGACTGAATGGTGTTTTACGCCGTAGTCAGCATTACTTTCACAATATCACTGCGGCATGTGACACGTTGAGCTCATTTCGGTGGGATAACGAGTGGTGGACAGCATGAGCATGGAACCAGGTTGTTTGGGCCTGAAGGTGACCAAATAGGTAGGTCACTGGGATTCATTAACCCATATCAAAGTTATCTTGATTACGCTGTTTTATTTCAAATTCAAGCGTCATTACTTTTGGAGGGTGGGTCCCCCTTTTGTTGTTGTAGGCAGCAAAATTTCCTGAAATACTGTTAAAGCCCACTCGCCATTGTGTAACCTAACTAAATACCAACCATCATGTTTTACGACCATTCAACTATGCTTTAATTATTATTATCATTATTTCGATAAGCGTTATCATTATTGTTTTTATTGCAGACTACGCTGGCGGTTTTGCTGTGGAGATCAGTAACGTAAATTATTTCTTAGCTCGTCTCGGTGGAGACAAGGTTCAATTCCAACCTTGCTATAAGCAATCCCGTTAATGTTATTATATAAGTTCAGTAACACTACGCGGCACAGAACTTCATAGGCCATGAGCTTCTGGGGCACCTAACATGTTGACAGTATATAAAAAATCGAGGGGAGAATGAAAAATGTGCTTTGAAACTGATTTTTTCCCACTTCTGATCATTCTATGATAATAATTGATCGTTTAAGTCCTATTTCTGCGCTGGAAATCCAAAGTTATTTGCAATAGATCACAGATAAGACTACTTCAGAACCCAAGTTACCAGTGACGCAGCAATTATGAATTGTCAAAATCAAGTGCTCTTTTAAGCCCGTACTTTGCAGTCCTAAGCAAATGTTCAATCCTTCTTCGTTTTTGTGGCGTTACACTGAAGGAGTGAGTGAGTGTGATTTTACGCCGCTTTTAGCAATATTCCAGCAATATAACGGCCAGGGGACACCAGGAATGTACACTGAATAAACTATGAAAAGTATGATCTGCATGAAACTAATTGCTGAATCATAGTTGCGGCCGTTATATGGGCCAGGATCTGTTGAGTACGAATTTGATCCCCTAACGTATATTGTACTGGTCTGACTACAAATGATTTGGGTCCAGTACTATGAGTTCTATTCCATAATGTGACATTACCTAGTCTAACACTGAATCATCTGAATGAAATACTGAGAGTCCTATTCCAAATATGATGATTTACTGGTCTAACAATGAATCATCTGAATCATCTGAATGCTATACTGAGAGGTTCTATTCCATAATATGATGATTTACTGGTCTAACAATGAATCATCTGAATGACATACTGAGAGTCCAATTCCAAATATGATGATTTACTGGTCTAACAATGAATCATCTGAATCATCTGAATGTTATACTGAGAGTTCTATTCCATAATATGATGATTTACTGGTCTAACAATGAATCATCTGTATGACATACTGAGAGGTCTATTCCATAATATGATGATTTACTGGTCTAACAATGAATCATCTGAATGGTATACTGAGAGTTCTATTCCATAAAATGATGATTTACTGGTCTAACAATGAATCATCTGAATCATCTGAATGCTATACTGAGAGTTCTATTCCATAATATGATGATTTACTGGTCTAACAATGAATCATCTGAATGACATACTGAGAGTTCTATTCCATATAGTGAGATACTGGTCTAACAATGAATCATTGTATGCTATACTGAGAGTTCTATTCCATATGATGATTTACTGGTCTAACAATGAATCATCTGGGTGATGTACAACGTGTTCTATTCCATATGGTGATTTACTGGTCTAACAATGAATCATCTGAATGATATACTGAGAGTTCTATTCCATAATATGACGATTTACTGGTCTACCAATGAATCATCTGAATGACACACTGAGAGTTCTATTCCATATGGTGATTTACTTGTCTAACAATGAATCATCCTAATGTTATACTGAGATTTCTTTTCCATAATATGGTGATTTACTGGTCTAACAATGAATCATTTGAATGTTCTACTGAGAGTTCTATTCCATATGGTGATTTACTGGTCTAACAATGAATCATTTGAATGTTATACTGAGAATTCTATTCCATATGGTGATTTACTTGTCTAACAATGAATCATCCTAATGTTATACTGAGATTTCTTTTCCATAATATGGTGATTTACTGGTCTAACAATGAATCATTTGAATGTTCTACTGAGAGTTCTATTATATATGGTGATTTACTGGTCTAACAATGAATCATTTGAATGTTATACTGAGAGTTCTATTCCATATGGTGATTTACTTGTCTAACAATGAATCATCTGAATGTTATACTGAGAGTTCTATTCCGTATGGTGATTTATTTGTCTAACAATGAATCATCTGAATGTTATACTGAGAGTTCTATTCCATATGGTGATTTACTGGTCTAACACTGAATCATCTGAATGTTATACTGAGAGTTCTATTCCTAATATGATGATTAACTGGTCTAACAATGAATCATCTGATTCATCTGAATGCTATACTGAGAGTTCTATTCCATAATATGATGATTTAGTGGTCTAACAATGAATCATCTGAATGACATACTGAGAGGTCTATTCCATAATATGATGATTTACTGGTCTAACAATGAATCATCTGAATGGTATACTGAGAGTTCTATTCCGTATGATGATTTACTGGTCTAACAATGAATCATCTGAATGTTATACTGAGAGTTCTATGCCATATGGTGATTTACTGGTCTAACAATGAATCATTTGAAAGTTATACTGAGAATTCTATTCCATATGGTGATTTACTGGTCTAACAATGAATCATTTGAATGTTATACTGAGAATTCTATTCCATATGGTGATTTACTTGTCTAACAATGAATCATTTGAACGTTATACTGAGAATTCTATTCCATATGGTGATTTACTTGTCTAACAATGAATCATCCTAATGTTTTTATGAGATTTCTTTTCCATAATATGGTGATTTACTGGTCTAACAATGAATCATTTGAATATTATACTGAGAGTTCTATTCCATAATATGGTGATTTACTGTTCTAACAATGAATCATCTGAATGTTAAAATGAGGGGTCTATTCCATATGGTGATTTACTGGTCTAACAATGAATCATCTGAATGTTAAAATGAGGGTTCTATTCCATATGGTGATTTACTGGTCTAACAATGAATCATCTGAATGTTATACTGAGAATTCTATTCCATATGGTGATTTACTGGTCTAACACTGAATCATCTGAATGTTATACTGAGAGTTCTATTCCTAATATGATGATTTACTGGTCTAACAATGAATCATCTGAATGACATACTGAGAGTTCTATTCCATAACATAATGATTTACTGGCCTAACAATGAATCATCTGAATGTTATACTGAGAGTTCTATTCCTAATATGATGATTTACTGGTCTAACACTGAATCATTTGAATGATCTACGGAGAATTCTATTCCATATGGTGATTTACTGGTCTAACAATGAATCATCTGGGTGAGGTACCGAGTGTTCTATTCCTAATATGGTGATTTACTGGTCTAACAATGAATCATCTGGGTGAAGGACTGAGTGTTCTATTCCTAATATGGTGATTTACCGTTCTAACACTGAATCATCTGGATGATATACTGAGAGTTCTATTCCATAATATGATGATTTACTGGTCTAACAATGAATTATCTGAATGATATACTGAGAGTTCTATTCAATAATATGATGATTTGCTTGTCTAACACTGAATCATCTGATTGACATACAGAGAGTTCTATTCCATAATATGATGATTTACTGGTCTAACACTGAATCATCAGAATGATATACTGAGAGTTATATTCCATAATGTGACATTAACTAGTCTAACACTGAATCTTCTGAATGATATACTGAGAGTTCTTTTCCATAATATGATGATTATCTGGTCTAACAATGAATCGTTTGAAATTTATACTGAGAATTCTATTCCATTTGGTGATTTACTGATCTAACAATGAATCATTTGAATGCTTTACTGAGAGTTCTTTTCAAATGGTGATTTACTGGTCTAACAATGAATCATCTGAATGTTATACTGAGAATTCTATTCCATATGGTGATTTACTGGTCTAACACTGAATCATCTGAATGTTATACTGAGAGTTCTATTCCTAATATGATGATTTACTGGTCTAACAATGAATCATCTGAATGACATACTGAGAGTTCTATTCCATAACATAATGATTTACTGGCCTAACAATGAATCATCTGAATGTTATACTGAGAGTTCTATTCCTAA